GGAAAAGTTGTAAGAATCCGTAAAAAACTCTGGGATATAGATCGCGACATGTCGATTCAAAAAATATAGAGTGCTTATAGTTTCGGAGGAAGATTTTCAAAATATTCGGTTTGAAAGACAATTTTTTTTTTAATGCGCAGAAGTTCTAGGACTATATTTCGACGTGCTGATTTAAAAATGTAGATCATTTGTGGTTTCGGAGGAAGATTTTCCAAATATTCGAGTTGAAAGACTAAAAGTTCTTAAAATCCACAAATTGCCATCTGTCATATCGATGATTTTGGAAAAATCGTAGGAAATTTCGAAGAAATGAAGCCAAAAGTAACTCCTGGAGCTCGAACTCTACAAAAAATCTTTTTGGATAATTTCCGAAAGTGGTCATGAAACGGTTGAAAATTTCGTAAGAGGAGAATATTGAAAGATTGAGATGTTGGAAAAGTCTGAATATCCACGAAGAAATTTTGAGATGGATCTCGACGGGCTGGTTCCAAAAATAGAGCTTGTTTATGGTTTCTGAGGAAGATTATTCAAATATGTATTTGGATTTAAAGACAAAAGTTTAAAAATCCAAAAATCTCCATCTTCCATATGGGTGATTCTGGAAAAATGATAGGAATTTTCGAAGAAGTGAAACTTAAAATTAAGGAAAAAAAATTCTTTCGACATATCGATTCCAAAAATATAGAGTGCTTCTAGTTCTGGAAGAATATTTTCAAAATATTCGGTCTGAAATACACACAATTTTTTTTAAATCCGCAGAAGCTCTGGTATTAGATTTCACCGGGCTAATTAAAAAATATGGATTATGGTTTCGGAGGAAGATTTTCCAAATATCCGGGTTGAAAAAGTAAAGTTTTTAAAATCTAAAAATTCTTTCATGTTGGTGATTCTGGAAAAATTATATTAGTTTTCGAAGAAATCAAACTATAATCTACTTCTGGAAGTCGAAGTCTATGAAGAAATCTCATTAGGTAATTTTCGAAAATGGTTGCTAAATGGGCAAAAATTTCAATTTCATGAGAGCTTATGGTCCTGGAGGAAGATTTTGTAAATTTTCGGACTGAAAAAGTAATTTTTAAAATATAAAAAATTGACATTCTTCGTATGGGTGATTCTGGAAAAATGGTAGGAATTTTCGAAGAAATGAAGCCGAAAGTCATTATCATTCGAACTCTACGAAAAAAATTATTTGGGTAATTTTTGCAAATGGTAAATGGTCGAAAATTTCATAAAGGGGGAGTATTGGAAAACTAAGGTTTTCGAAAAGTTGTCTGTAAGTCCGCAAAAAATATACTATGGGACATAGATCTCGACATGTTGACAAAAATTTGTTGAATCCAAAAAGTTGTTAGCTTGCATATTGGTGATTTTCGAAAAATAGTAGGAATTTTTGAAGAAATGAAGCCGAAAATAACTACCGGAAGTTGAACTCTACAAAAATATTTCTTTAGAACATTTTTGAAAATGGCCGAAATATGGTTCAAATTTCATAAAGGCAGAATATTAAAAAATTCAGGTTTTGGAAAAGGATATAGATCTCTACGTACTGATTCCAAAAATATAGCTTGTTTATGATTCCTGAGGAGAATTTTTGAAAATATTTTGTTTGAAAGACTATTTTTAAAATCCGAAAATTGTCATATTTCATGTGGGTGATTCTGGAAAAATGGGAAGATTTTGAGAAGAAATGAAGCCAAAAATAGCTGGAAGTCGAAATCGGTGAAAAAATCTCTGAAAATCCACAAAAACTCTGAGATTTTGTGGATTTTGACGTACTTATAGAAAAAATATAACAAATAAAATAAAATATAATATAATATAAAATTTTAGAAATATGCAGTTTAAAAGACATTTTTTTAATACAAAAAATTGTCATATTTCATATGAGTGATTCTGGAAAAATTGTAGGAAAGTTCGAAAAAACAAAGCCGAAAATTACTTCTAATGGTGGAAATCTGCAATAAATCTGTTTGGGTAACTTTCTAAAATGGTCGAAAAACGATCGTACATTTTACTTGACAAAATTTTGATATGGCGACATCAAATTTTTGGTCAATAACTGAACAAATTTTGGTTTTGTTTGCACGTGGTTCTAAATATACCTCACATTTTACAACAATCAGGTCAGTAGTTTCCGAGATTATCTGTATAATAAAATCGTCGACTGACTATAGCCAGACGGAAACGGAAGCCCTACTTTTTCATATTCTAAAGTCTATGAAACATCGAGGAAACTTAAAATTAGCCATTCGTCAAATAAACCGTATTACAATACTTGAGAAGTACCACTTAGATTTAGCAAGAGGAAATATTTATGGTTATATTTTTGTTTCTTTTTAATAACGATTTTTATAAGATCATTATTTTTTTAATAGACACTACAAAAACCAGAAGGTTTAATTTATTGCATATTAGTTTTGAAGCAATGAGAAATGCAGTTATTCAAGAATTAATGTTGTTTAAACACCATTTGCGGCTTTAACAAGTGTTAAATATTTGTTTTGAACAGTGTTTGCAAATTTTAAATTAAGACAACTGTATAAATTGAAAATATTGTGTATTTTATTTCTTATAAACGACAAAAATCTCTGAAAGCTTAAAATAAAAAACAAAAAATGAGAATTATAGAATTAAATGTAACTATTGAAAGTTATTAAAAATTCTAAAATGAGTTTTTTTTTCCCTGAATTTAAAGTCTGTACCTTTATTATGAGACATTACTCAGTTCCTTTTGTCGTAAGAGAAAGATAATTTCGAATTGCATTTATTTTAGGAAAACTGAGATACTCTATATATTTTTAAGGTAGCGTAACAAATTTTTCACAAAGCCGTTTCAGTGGAAAACTATTAATAAACAAGAGGGAGGATAATCGAAAGCATTTAATTGTGACACTGCGAAAGAAAAAGATAGTACATTTTTTTATTTGGAATTTTTGACAACTGACAATCTTGTGTCGTGGAAATTTGTTTTAATTTTCCTTTCGTTTACATGCCATATGTCATTAGTAAAATGATGTCCTGCCATAATTGCCATGCAATTTTGTGCGTTGTACTTTATTGTTGCGTGATTGATTGCTATAATCGTGGTGTTGAAATATCTAGATATCTTGATGTACCTACTTTTCCATCAGCTTTCTAAAAGTAGTTAGAAATGTGTATATTCCAGAATTCCCATCACGAAATATCAGATCGGATGTCTTATCGTCAATTTTAGATCGTAAGCCCGTAATGACTATTACTTATACCCAGTACAACCTAATTACATCCTTACAAAGTAGTCCATCGGTGTGCTTTTATAAATTCGAAAACAATAAAAGCGCGGTAAAAAGCACCTTAAAAGAATTTCGAAAACAAAGGATCTTGTTAAAAGCGATTGTGTGTCAAAAGCAAAAGAAAGCTTTCTTTTAGGTGCTTTGTTTTCTCAGTTATGCGATTATGTGTATACAGTGTCACATCATTCAAAACGATTTATAAACTATTATTCCATTGAAAATTATTTTTGGGGTAGCATGTGATCGACAAAGCGTGACAGTTTGTTTCCATCCCAGAATTTTATTATTCCCATATTTCAGAGTATGGGTAATCATTTTTGCTGTTGTGTGGCCAATAAATTATTTAAATTAATTACACACAAATTGGAGGCTATTTTATTTTTTACGCTATGTTTGCAGCTCTGAAACCAAGTTAAAATACATTATCGATCCAACTTCTCACACGCTCGCTGAACTTCAACGATAATTGAAGCAGGCATGTTACTAATGAAGTGGAATTTTATCAGTTAAAACCGTGTTGGTTTGTAGGAGGAAAGTCACAAGGATATTCATTTTAACTGATGGGTGTAATAATTATTGTTCTTAAGATAGCAGCAGGAAAACAGGCGTTTGATGTAGGTAGAAATTACAGAAACACACATTTACGACTTTGACATATTTTTGAGAGTAATGTCAGACAATTTGAATTTTTTAATTGGTAACTTGAGGCGACTTTTTAAATATCACCGTGTCAACGTTTTGTCGTCCAATTTCTCTTCCGTGTGTGTGTTTGTCTGGCGTATGCGTGCTCCTCGTCTTATCACTGTCGGATTTAGCACACACAAACAAAATCAAATCGTGTAGGTCAGATTTTATACATTTTTGTAAGCTCTAAAAGGAGATGCAATAAAAATGTCTTACACAAGGCAGGTTTATCTGCTTATTTAACACCGCGTGAAACTTTTCATTATCAAGTTCTAGGTGTGTTTCTACAGGGAAAATTCGCAATAAAGCGTTTTTTGCATCAACACTAACTAAATTCTATCCCGCCACGATCTAAATAACGCTTAGAATTAAACTGATTGTACGCCAAAATACACAACCACCCTCATATACATACAAATTATAACTTTCATCACATCAAAACTTTTGATAAACATTTTAACAAACAATATTTATGAGGATTGTTTTGCATGGATTATAATTGGTAATTATTATTGTTTGCTCAGACAACGTTGACGAGATGTAGGGAGTTAACAGGATTTAGTTAAATTAGCTTTTTACAGAATTGTTTGAGGTGATAGCTTTTATGAACATTTAGCATTTAACGAGGAAATACACATGACAGAAATGTAAATGTGTTGATACCTGTGAGGGAGTTTGCATGTTGGATTTATTTTAATGTATGCAGTATTCATGCAGTTTTAAATGTAGCACTGAAATTCGCAATTGACGCAAATATTACTTGCTTTTTCAAATATATTAATATTAAAACCCCGCGGATGGTGGTCGAAGTGGGAACATAAACATAAGTCGAATTTTTGTTATAAATGAGCTTTCCGAGCAGTCATAGAACTGCAAGAAATTTTATGATGATTATTTGACCTTTAGTGTTTTTTTTTTTTTTTTATATAAACAAGGAATAAATTCGACTGCTTCATCACTGATTTATTTCCTTGTTTAAGATGTTTTGTGTAGCATTCACAGTTGCAGTAGCATCACAATCTAAATATTTTTCTCGTTTTTCAGACAACAGATGAAGAAGTTAACCTTCAACCTAGACGATATGGTAGCCTTGACGCGCCGCAGTAAGTTAAAGGTAAACCAAAAATTAACATTTCTTATATGTTAAGATTTAATTAGTGTGGAGGCAGCGACAGAATCATAGAAAGAAGCGAAGTTGTATAAAATTTAATTAAGGTTTACAACAACTACAAGACAATATAATTAAATGATGATAGCCGTTTTAATTCCGAGTTGGAATTAATAACACCACGTGGTATCGTTAGGTATGTTTTCGATGCTGGTTCGTTAATACTGTCTCCGTTTTAAAATTTATACGTCTGTACTAATTTAGAAGTGTGTCCTCGTGTGTGCGTTCCTCGACGCTAACTCAACAGTGCTTCAAGGGTTTATTTTCGAATTTTTCGGACGCGATCTGAAAGCAGTTTGCGTCGTTTAAAAGAAGCCTCATTCAAAAAAGCTGCCAAAGTGTATCCATTATTCAGTTAAATGGTTGAAAGTGATATTATTATGACATTGGAATAAGTTTCACGTATTCTGTTCTTGAACAAGTTCTGAAGTCGTAGATAAAATTTCCTACGGTAAATATCGTCTAACGTATTATTATCACACTAGTATGATTATAAAACTTGGTTAACGCCTCGGTGTGTGGAAACTTCACACTCGTAAATAATAATGCTTTTAACCACTTGTAACGTAAATAGCTATTAAATATCATTTGAGGACATTAAACGACCATAAAAAATATTTACGAAGATAATAGAAAAACTTGACACTTAAAAAGAGTTTTCCCTGTTTACCACTGCTTTAGGAGAATTTACCCTACTAACGACTTATTAACGTAATAAGTATTAAGTAAATATAATTTTACTCAATGAAGCTAAAACCGCGAAAGTTTTTATTACGGTTGTTGTTATGAAAACCCCCCGAACAACTCGTGATCATTTTAATTTTTCATTCCCGCAAGAAATTTTGAACAAAAGTTGGGTGTTTGTTGTGCCTATTGAAGGAAAACCAGCTACAAGTGGTACAACATTTTGTGCGTATATGTATACTTTATCCAGGGCCGAGTCCGAGCCGAGCTGCGGTAAGTGCGAATATTAAATAGGGAGGGCCGGATTATAAACTGCAGGGTTATTGTCACAACCTCGGTCACAACGCAGTCTTCATAAACAGCATAATTTGACTTCGTTTGTGTCAATATTGGTTCCTGCGACTGTTCAGTTAGCGGGAGCACCCTGTTATTTTGAAAGAATCCATTTCTCTCGTTTGTTTTATTTACGTTCTAAAAACATGTCGTATATTAACGTTATGATTAAACACTCGGTAGTGTTTATTTGTCGATTTAGTAAGCAACTGCTGAGATAAACATAAATAAGCTATTTCTAACTCGCCGTCAAGAGTAAACAATTCGTGTTCAGAGTAAAATCTACAATAATTATTATTAATTCCAGTATGGAGGTTTAACTACCGGTTGCACTTACTCTCAAGTAATTAGAGTTTCCATGAACACATATTAAACAACAACTGGACTAAAGTTGGTTGGGTTTATTTCGGAGAGAACCCAGGACCGTATTATATTTAATCGACTTTATACCGAGATTAAAATTTTCGCAATTTAGATCACGTAGCGGCTAGATTAAAAAGTCGCTCATTCCTATATTTGAAGTTAATATTTTTTCATTTTGTACTATCCTGTGTGCAGAGTTGGCTCGCTTGTAAAATTGCTATTTGTGATATTGATTCCAAAAATTGATAAACAATAATACGATAAGTTAGAAAAATATGTACAGAGCATATTTAATCAGAAAACTTTTATCATACGTTACGTTACTAATATTTACATTTATTTTTAATCAATTCCGGGTAAAAATATAGATTACGGTGTTGTTAAATCATTTGAATTTTTATTGCATTTGTAAGAAGCAGTTATCGTTTCCGATAACTCTATCCACCAAATGTTTGATAACTGATATTTGACTAAGATTTAGATAATAATTATATAAATATATATGATTAACCAGGTCGATGTATATTCTAAATTTTTGCGCATTGCGAACACTGAAACTGTCCTTAACCTATAAAGAGGGTTAAAAATATAGGTATTTATTCCCTTGCAAGATTTCTTAATGCCGAAAAATCTTGACCAATTTTCTCGTTGAATTACCAAAGTGGGAATGTGCTATTAGAAAATTGTCGTTAGAATCCTGTAGATTATAGCAAATCGTTTGTCATCAGCTCAAGATTTTGGGTGGTAAGTACTATTAAATTTTATAAAATAACATATTCCTTATTGGTGGGTTATGGATCCGGTTTGATTTTTTACTCAAGGGATTCAGTTCGCAAAAATACCCAAATTATATAAAGATCTTTTATGCTAAATGTAAAAGGAAGGGAATGGGTTGGTCGTGTGAATAACACGAAAGTCGCGACTTTGATCCGGTCACGGGTTTGATCTCCTCTTATGACCCACTTTATTTTTTCTTACACTGTGACTGATGTTATGTATTTTTTTTTTCTAAAACACGAGATTTATTTGACTGTACTTCAGGGGCGAGGAACATTCTGTCTAATAACATAGGATTATCAAGTCATCACCCATTATATACAAATCCTACAGGTCTAATCAATTGGACGAGTATTTTAAATTATAATTTAAATTAGTGTTTTTTGTACCTATGTTTATTTACACTTTATTACCATGACTACATTTGTTTTTGTCGTGGTTTCAGTGGTATTTATTCAAAATCTTATTATGTAACCCGACATTTGTCTACAGATTGCGAAAACAATGGTCAAAAAAATAGAATAATTAAAAACTCCAAACGTGAAAAGATGTCTCCTCATCATTTTGTGCTGTAAAGGTTATCTAAATTTTATCAAATAATACACTTCTGGACTCTTGGTTTATGAATCCGCCTTTATTTTTATTACAATTATTTTGCAAACATTTTGTGCAGTGTACATACAATATATTTATTTAATTAATTAATTAATTACTGTTAATTATAACTTAAAAGACGTTGCAATAAGGTGCAGCAATTTGGGATCCATAAATCTGGAAAATAATATTGCAGAAATATTAAATTTGAATAAAATCTAGTTACGCACGATTTCGAAGTTAAGCCAAGTTTTCGAATGGCTGGGTCATCGGCTGTGTGATTTAAATGAACGAAAATTACTGTTAATTCGTTACAGTTAATTAGTCGGGCAGCAAGGTAGTAAAAAAAGTAATTCTAATAAATTATCTTGACTACCTTTTGCCTTTCTGCAGCGGTGCACTCGCTTCGAAAAAATCCCGAAGACAAAGAAGGCGAATTCGCTCCTCGGAGCGTGACTATCACGAGAATCCGACACGAATCGAGCTTAAAGAAGTAGAAGAAAACAGGTCTCTAAAGCTGGCCGCTCTCTGAATTACCAAGGGGTCATGAAAGGGTTAGCAGCAATAACAATAAATTCCCAGGCATCGCGAGCAACTAGGGCACTACACACCAAGGAATTTACATGGGACAAGGGTGTAACAAAAATTACTACTTTAGTGGAAAAGGTTGCGATTACGGAAGAGCCTCTTTAATAACGTTACCCCCTCTGGATGCTATGTCTGGAACGATAACTGGGCTTGAATTTATAATATTAACTTGAAATGAGTGAGAAGAGAAAATTACCCACTTTTGTTTTCTACCAGACGGCTTTACGACATTCCGACCTTTACAATATGGACACCGCAGAATATATTCAACAAGGTGTGCTAAATAATGAATACAAGTAGGGAAGGACACCAAAATTTACATCAAACGGTTTTGATTCTTTGAATTATTGAAAGAGCAGTTTGCTTTGAGCTTTTCGATTTATTGGGTTGTGGCGACCTTAGAGCCCCAATTTTCGATGACTATTGAAATTACGCTGTTATTTTTACCAAAAATAGTTAATTCTGACCGAAAATATAAGCTTTAGCGATTCAAAAAATAACTTATTTATTTGTGTGAAACACTTCGTAAACACGACTCATAATTTTACGCTGTTTACAAACAATTTAAGCTTTGCTGAAAATGTTAAATATAATGGAAGGTTCAAGTTTAACTTTTCTCAAAAAGCGATTTTATGTTAGGTGAGTCTGTAACATTTTAGCAAAAGTACAAAATAAATGTTACTACTCGAGCCGCCAAAGCGGCTGTTAAATTTTAAGGACCCTGTAAATTTCGGTAGAAAAGTTTTTACTTTGTTGCCTACATTTGTGTTATGTAGGGTTTGTTTACTTGTACTTGTGTGAATGACTACGCTATTTGATAGTAGATTGCTGTGATTAGTTTTTATGGGAAAAAAAGAAGATACAGACAAGAAAATTATACTCGTAGTATTTTTATGAAAGCTGTTCATGGTATAAATGTATCTATTTTTATTATTTGTAATTTCGCTAGTTAACAACATTTTTCATACATTTTTAGATTTGACAAGTGGGTTGGGATTTTCGCATTTCGGTGTCACAGTACTCAAAGAAATTTCACAAATCTTATAAACGAGAATAGACTGCATTTTTCAAATATGTTTTGAATTTTCGACAAAAAATTTTAATATATCATATGTAGATAAAAATCTGTGTTGCAACTCCTGACTTCAAAATTCTAAATCTTAATGAAAATCGTTAAAATAAATTCTGACGTGAGCGTTTAGCTAAACAAATACTGTAAAGATTTGTTTTCACTAGAAGAGAAAATTTATTGTGCCCACAATATAACAATTTTTAACGATTTCTAACTAGTAACTAAATATTATATAAAATAATAAATAACTTAATTCTAACCGTCTTTAATTTTACTGTCTTATAGAATTTCAAGAGTAAAATTTCGAAAATTGTTTTAATTCTGTTATTACACTCATCCACAAGCCTTTAAAACATTTTTTGGACAATTGCACATTCAAAACAGGTTACTTATAAGCCGGAAAAGTTTTCAGTTCAGGACAATATTATCCAGAATTTTCTATTTGATAAATCTTTCTTTACTCAAAAGTTTAAGAATTAATTTCTTCAATGTGCAATTATTACTTTCTTGAAAGTAATTGAAAGTCAAATACTAA